CAAAATTTGATATTCCCATCTCAGTGGTGAGGCTCTGTCAGGGTACACTCAGGAGTTGCGATTTTTGCCTCCAAATATTACTGCTTAAATCTTTGTACTTTTTGAGAAATGACGTTTTTTATGACTTTTTCAACAAGTTTTCAAAAACTTAGATGTTAAAAAATTCTCAAACTTTGAAAATCGCAATACTGTTATCGGAATCTGTGAGGGTACTCTCATGGGATTGCAATTCTTGCCTCAGAATATGTCTGCTCCAAGTCTTGTTGTTTTCGAGATACGACGGTTTTTAGGATTTTCTCAAAATTTTTCAGAGAACTTGGGTATACATTTTTTTAATAAAATTTGAAATTACCATCTCTCAAGTGAGGCTATTCCAAGGTAATCGCAGGAGTTGTGAATTTTGCTTCCAAATATGACTGCTCAAAATCTTGCAGCTTTCAAGATATGACTTTTTTTGTGATTTTTTTTTATTTATGAAAAGTAAATTAGTTTTCTTTTCAAAGTTTGAAATTCCTAACCTGTAGTTGGGGGCTGTCAGAGTAATCCAATTAAGAAAGCTCTAATGTTTTTAGTTTAAGAGATACGACAATTTTTGTGATTTTTTTTGGAAATTTTCAGAAAACTCAAATTACAAAATAGTTCACTGAAGTGAAATTCCCAACCCCGTAGTTGTGTGCTGTCGGAGTACTTTCAAAGATTGCCATCATTGCCATCTATTAAGACTGCTCAAATCTTGATAGTTTTCGAGATGTGAAATTTTTCTGGTTTTCAAATCAAAATACCTCTTTTTAGAAAACTTAAGGTGAAGTTTCTCAAAATTTGAATTTCACAACGTTGTAGTTGGGCACTGTAAGAGTGCTCTCAGGAGTTGTAAATCTTGCTTCCAAATGCGACTGCTCAAGTGCATTAGCTTCCCAGATGTGACGTTTCTTAATTCATTTTAAATTTTTCGAAGAACTTATATAAAACTTTGCAAAATTTGTAATTACGAACCCTGTAATTGGGTGCTGTCAAAGCACACTCAAATAATGCAGATCTTATTTCCAATATATGCGGTTTATCATGAGTACCGGAGGTGCGTTTTACGCTAGTCATTTAGATTTTCTAGCATTTCTTAGTTGCAAACGCTTGTTTTTGTTACAGCCCGCTTTCTAAGTTAATCCATTGAACCTACTTTTTTTAATTGGGAAGGTTATATCTAAATAGTGTCAATGATAAAAGATTTTCGATATTCAACAAGCTATATGGTAAAACTTTTTTTCCAACTGAATAGTTCAAAACCTGTTCAATTTCGATGCAAGGTTGATTGAAGCAGAGTCAAGTTGAATTAATTTTATTGCAGAAGTATGAATTTCAAGTCTTGGAACTGCTTGAATATTTAGACTTGTTTGTTTTCGGTTTGAGGCTTGACTCTTATCTACATTTTGCCATAACTGAAACTCCTTGTCCTTCTTGTTGCCTTTTTTGTATAATAAGTTGGGCACAATTTACGTCACTGAGCTCATGCTTTTAAGTAGGAACCATGTTTGTCCGTTGAAACTTGCAAGGTGTTGCTGTTGTTGAGTGTGTGTGTGTGTGTTGAGCTTGATGGATGTCTAGTCGTCGTCGTTTCTGTTCAATATCGGGGGGTTTAATTTGTCCAGGAGTTGTAGCCATATTTCTAGGGCTTTTCTCGGGTTGGTGGTCATCGTATAGAGGTTCTAATTTTCTGGATAGTGGTTCCTCATGGCTATTGTTGATGTCAATTGCGGGTGGTCTACGAGAAATAATTTCAGTTTGCAGTTGCATGTCAGTGATTTATTTTAGTATTATGACTTCGATTTGTAAAATTTGGATTGACTTTGGAGTGGCCACTAATATTTGTCCTCTAAAAATATTAATGGTTTTGTTTTTTTTTCGCTTATTTTTGCTGAGGTATATGAATTGTTCTATTTTGCTGTGGAAGGCAGACTCGTGATCATATAATTTGTAACTATTGTCAGAAAGTTAAGAGCTCAATATTTATTCTTGAGGCACTACTACACTGGTCAGTTTTTGTCATTTTAGGGTGGTTGCACATGCAATAGTCTGTATTGCAGCAATTGGATTGTTTGTTTTTTCAAGTATTTGATTGAACTTACCACTCATACACTTCAATTATTGCTTATTTGTAAAAAGTAATTGTTTTTTTTCGTTGTCAATAACAGTAAGTTCTACAAAATTTGTTATAAGGTTTTATTGTTAGTTTTCTCAGTTGACACTATCTATTGTTATTATGATCCTTAACAATTCAGTTCTATGATAGTTGTGTAAATGCTTCAAAACTGTGGTCTATCCTACTGATTTTTCTTAAAATCGACATGGTTTTTCTTTAAAAGTTCTTAGGAATATATGGAAAAGATCTAGTTGGTCCGAAAGGATCTAGTAGGATAGAATTTTAGTGCTAGACTTTTGAAGAAAGTGAGGAATATATATGCTCGGAATAGATTTTTTCAGACCAATTTCAAACTCTTTGCTCACTCAGTTGATTTATCCATCGATCTTCATGGGCCAAGCCGGGTGTGCACACCACTATAGTATCCTGCCACGAGTCTGGTTTAACGGCTTTTTTATATTCTATAAGCGGCTAACTATCCCGCACTACAAAATCGTTCCAAATTGAACTGAGGCATTAAGCTAACTTATTATTTCTAGACATGACTCAAATTTTAACATTTAAACTATTACTTCATCAGCTTAAACTTTTTAGTTTGGCAAATTTGATTTACCAAAAACTATTCGAGACCAATTAAAGGGCAGTCAGAACATTCAAGGCTTTACACTGATATGACCACTCTTATTTATATCATCTGGAAGAATTTGACGTCCTGAGCTCCAAGTCAAATTTTATTGAAACTGTGCTTTTTTCGCTCAATTAGGGCAGTGTGAAATTTTGAGCTATTAACGAGTAAGCAACAAGGTAATGGGGCGAAAAATCAATCGAAATAGAATTTAGGCAGGCTATTTGCATTCGAAGAAGACGGAAAATTTATGCTCGGTGTGGGTTTTTTTATTCAGTCAATTTTCACCGATCGAAATATTTATTTTCAACAAAAATTTTTTATACCCCATTGACGATATGGACTTTCTGAGTTGTAAAAAGGTAGCTCACCTCCGATAATTTTTCGTAAATTTCTGGGGGTTTGAAAACTGCCAAATTTGCTATGTTCTGGACTAAATTATGCGCGCTGTGAACAGTTCATTCATAATCCTCGATCGTAACGCGAATTATTTATGCGTGCCGAATTATCCCACATAACAAAATCGATCGTTCTAAATTGAATTGAGGCTAGCTAATCAGATCGGTAGTATTAATTTCGTACGACTCAAAATTTTACACATTGATTTTGACCAAAATGCATAGGCTTTCAGTATTTTCTTTTCCCAAAAACTATTCGATATAAATTAACGGACAGTCAGAACATTCAGGGATTTGCCCTGATATACGAGCAGTCTTGTTGTTCGTTACTTAACAAGTAATATATTTCTTAGGTTATAAATAGCACTCGTGTTTTGGGTGGATTTCAAATGGGAAAAAATCTAAAACAATCACTATTTTGTGAAAATATGTTATCATTTATTGCATTGACAAAAGACATCACTAAAACTTAAAGGGCAGCTTGAATTTATAGGGCTTTGGCCTGATGCGAGCAGTTTTGTCTTTTCTCTTAGAAGTGCACTTCTGTTTGAGAAGCGTTGGCACCAACAGTTAACATTTACTTTTAGTTGTATGTTTACCATTCAGACGATTGCAAAACTGCAGAAAAAAACTTACTATAATGAATCCTAATTTGGGCCGACAAAAATGATGATCAATTTAAATATGATCGCCTTCTGATTTAATCATATCCTATTTTCAATTGTTTTTCACAAACAAGTGCAGTTTTAATGACATAAAAGCGCCGAATTTTTTTTGATTCCTCTCATGTTTTTTTTTCAGTTACAGCTTATATTAAACTACTGGCGAATTTCACTCGAAGAAGTAAGAAAAGCGGTTGGCAGCTTTCCTAAAAGGCTGCAAAAGTGCCACGATGCCAATGGGTGATATTTCAAGCATTTGATGAAGACATTTGAATAACTGAGTTCACTTTATGATATTTCCGTCTGTTACATAATCAATGCAAAAAACCATTTGAAGAAGAATCCATTTTATGAGCTTTTCAAACGTGAAAAAAGAGCGAGAACCACCCTGTAGTTTGCGTTTTAAGTGCTTGACTTCATTGAAGCGCTTGTGGTTCATTCTGATATGTATATGTTTATGCATATTGGGGATCCGTAAAATAATGAGTTCGCGCACAGTTTTCCCATTTTTGATTGTTAAGCTCTAATCCCTTCGCCGAGCAATTAGGTGAGAAAATTGGGTCTTGCTTTTACCATTGTCTCTTTCTTACCATCAGCCTAACGGGCATTTTTATCGTTAAATCTAAACCATTATTGCATCTTCTTTTTTTACCATTCCCGTGAAATCAGGGCACTTTCTAATTTGAGCTCCAAAAATCTTTAAAAATACATTTTTAAATTTAATTGGCGGATTTACATGTCTGCCACGCGAACAAATCACTTCAAATGCCAAACATATTTGAACCTTAACCATCAACAGCAATCATTTTTAATCAAACCCGTTGCAACAGTCAAAGAAAAAAGTAAAAAAGAAAAAATCAACTTCACCGATATAGAAGTAAAATCTCAAGTGCCTTAAGCAATTTTTGTAATTTTTATCAACTAGAAATGGCGCTTCCTTTTCGATTATTGACAGTATTCAATAAATCGAATTGAATAAAAACCGATTGCTTCTATGGACTATCAAAATTACGACTCAAATGTCGGCCAATTTACTTTTGAAAACTGATGAAATATATGTTCATCAGCTTCAAAACCAATCATAAAAGTTCAGTTGATAAATATAAAATTCTTAGCTCAGATTTTTTTTTGCTGAATGCTGATATTCTGTTACATGAACCGTAAGACCTTTCATATATTAATCTGCTTCGAGTGCATTCCGTCGCCTAACGTCAATTTTTTTTCTGATACGAAGACAAGATAAAATTTGCCTGGCGGCAATTTGCTTAAAACGCGCCAAGTTTATCTGACTCGCCAATGTTTATTCCCTCTCCAAAATTGGCACATGTTTTTTCATTATCGATTTTTTCAAATCAATTTGGACAATTTTATGAATTTTAAAATTTCAATTTGTCGCCGCAAACACTCATTATAGAGCATTTCTTTTGTTGGCGCAAACACTGTTGACGCAAAATTCCCGGTAGGTATTGCTTAACAATGTGTTTTTTTAAATTCTTTTTACATAGAGGTCAATAAGCTGGGGGAAAGTATGATGAAACACTTCATAAAACCTTCCTTTTTTTCTAATCGGCACTCAGAACTGTTTAGTTTCCTAATAGATCTCTTTATTTGCCTCTTACGGAAATTGAGTGGAATTGAAGTGAATGGAACTCCCAAAATTGAATCTTAAGTGTTTGTTACTATACAAAGCAATCCTTACCACCTTATTTTTATCTTCATATTGTATTTTTTTTATTCTTTAGAGATGCATTAAATTTATCTTCATTAGAGTTTTGTGAACTTCTGCAAAAGTCACCGAAACAAATTACATCAGCCATTTAGCCAACCAACTATTTTTTTTGTATTTTTTTCTGTGATTTAGTTTTTTCTTTAAAGGGTTTATGATGGGTTATTTTTGCATAGCATTTTTGCGGTCAACAATTTATCTGAATCATTCATGTCTCTAGTTTGACTTCTAGAGGAATTTAAAACGCATCTTTGTAAGACGTTTTTCATGCTTTAAAATTTAAAATCAAGTTTTAATTACATCTTCTTAACCTAAAAACTAAAAAATCATTTTATCTGTGATGATTTTTTTGTGAAGATTTGGGTGTTTAAAAATTGCCAATTTGGAAGATAAAATTCGCGCTTTTTATTATTTTTAACAATCACATTAGGAGAAATAATTTGGAAAATTAATTTTAAACCCACCTTCGTACAAAAAAAAATAGGCAAACTCTGAGAATTTTTCTTAATTCTGATCTGAATAACGCTCCCATCATTCATGCAATGATTTCTAATAAGATTAATTCTCTCATATTGTTCCAATCTCTACTTGTTCTTTTTTAAAAACTTCTTAGCAAAAACTACGGTTTTCAGAGCGGGTATAGGACTACAGGCCGACAATACTTCAAGCCAAGGAGACTTCGGTCTGAAAACTAAAATTTTCAAGCTCATGAAATTATTTCCCACTGACTATAACAATTTGTGACAATAAAAAAAATTCAAGAACTCATTATAACCTAAATCTGTAACACAAAATAATTACTAAATTAGTGAGTGTTTAGAACAGCCATTTTGCTGTACACACTTTTTAAAATCCATTTCATTAAGCTCTTATCACTTTTCCGCCTTTATTTTTGCATCCAAAACAATTCTCACAAAAGCCATTCAGAACAACTCTCACAAAAGTCTTAACCAAAAACTGCTCGAGAGTTAAGATCAATAAGTCTTCTCAATATGAAGCGATATTGTAAACCGAAAAGAAAAATCCGTTAATTTTATGACAAAACTTCGTATGCAAGGATAAAGCACTAATTACTCCAACTGCCGTTTGTTGTCAAACACAAGCTTTTTGGCATAACAAAATCACAATAAAATTTCAAAAATAACTAAATTTTGTAATATGTTTCATATTTTTTTTTCATTTCATTACATTATCCCACAAAAACGAAGTAAAATTTTACAGCGTATATTTTGCGTGTGGTAAAGTGACAATTGCTTACCGCAGTTCAATTTGAAGGATTCAATTTGATGCTTGCCTTTTAATAGAACGAAATATGTCCCGCGTTCATTATATCAAACTGAATTATAGTAGTCAAAGTAATCCTAAGTTAAGTTCAAACAAGACTGCTCGTATCAGGGCGAAGCCCTGAAAGTTCCGACTGCCTTTTAAGGTCTATGGAGCATTAATAAGATAAAAATATTCAAAGTACTAAAAAAAAAAAAAAAAATTTTTTTTGAAAAAATATGAGATTTTATGTAAAAACATCCCCCCATACGTCATATTAAGTACAAAGTGATAAATTTTGCGCCTATTAACAAATCAATTATGGCAAATAAGCTTCCTTGAACCAATTTGGAACGATTTCTAAGACAGATTAAATCTCGCTTACGCGTTAATAGCGCGAAATTTATCGCGCGTTAATTATCCCAAATAACGCAATCTTTTAACCCTCGTAATTTTACGAAAAATGATCACAGGTGAAATATCTTTTCAAGTTCAAGCTCAGGACAACAATAGCTTTCGAATGATATAAAAAAGTTGCGTCAAAAACAGCTAGTTAAAAAGTCGAAATTTGTCTGAAGGAAAAAAACCCACCACGAGCACAAATATTCCGTTACTTTCGTATCGAAAGTCGGAACAATTATCAATATTGGTCACATGTGCTCACGTTTTTCTCATAAACAGAGTTACAAAGAAATTGCGCGTTTTTTAGTCGCACAATTTCAAAAATAAATTAACAAAAAATTATGATTTTTAATTTGTAACAAGACTGCTCGTATCAGGGCGAAGTCCTGAAAGTTCCGACTGCCTTTTAACATCTATGGAGCATTAATAAGATGAAAAATTTCAAAGTACTAAAAAAAAAATTTTGAAAAAATTTGAGATTTTATGTAAAAACATCCCCCCACACGTCATATTAAGTACAAAGCGATAGATTTTGCGCCTATTAACAAATCAACTATGGCATATAGGCTTCCTTGAACTAATTTGGAACGATTTCTAAGACATATTAAATCTCGCTTACGCGTTAATAGCGCGAAATTTATCGCGCGTTAATTGTCCCAAATTGGCCAAAATGGCAATCTTTAAACCCCCATAACTTTACGAAAAATGATCACAGGTGAAATATATTTTCAAATTCAAGCTCAGGACAACAATAGCTTTCGAATGATATTAAAAAATTGCGTCAAAAACGGCTAGTTAAAAAGTCGAAATTTGTCTGAAGAAAAAAAAACCCACCCCGAGCACAAATATTCCGTTACTTTCGTACCGAAAGTCGGAACAATTACATATTGAAATAAAGAGCGACGGTTGACAAGCAGGTGGCACAGATTGTTTTGACCACAAAAAAATCCAAAAAAAATTTTAAACAGACAATTGAAAACGTTGCAAAAAATAAAAAAAACACAGTTTTCGTTTTGTGCATTTGTTTTTTCGTAAATGTCATAATTATAGGACTAAATTTAGTTTAAGTGTGATTTGCCTATTTAGGGTGTTTATGGCTGAAGTAATGTTAAAAATGGCGTAGACTGAAATAGAAAACTCATCTCTTTAGAGTAAAATGGAAAATATCAGACTAATTTTCTCGAATCCTCCTAATTTTTATTTGTTTTTGAGATCCATATCACAAATAGAAAGCCTTTGATATAAACCGCATTACCCCCACGCCTTTTTTTTTAATTTAGGTGAAAAAACCCACTCCACACCAAGTTGTAATTAAAGTTTTGAATACGGTTTAAAAAAAGTTCGAGATATTTTTTGATCAAAATTTTCTCGGTTTGTTTTGTTGCTAAGCTCAAAAATCAAAACTGAAAGCACTGTTGGTCTGATTATATCTGTTTTAGCTCTTACTTTTGAAATTATCGAAGTACACAATTGCTGCTAGTCTGTAGTCTCATCGTGGTGGCTATCGAATGATTCCGCTCAAAAATGTCATGACAAAATCGGAATTATTAAGAAAAGGTTGAAAAGAACCAGATTGAATGGAAAACGATGAATAGAAATTTGATTGAGCAAGACTTTTTTTGCACAGATTTATAGGTATTTTGGGCGGTAAAGTGCACAGTTTTATCGATATTTTTTGATACCGACATGGATTGATACTCCTCTCCTAGTCCTACCACTCTAATCAAAATGATCATACAAATTAATCATAATTTGTTTCAGAAACTTTGACTTGGGTAAATTGAAAATAGTTATGTTTCTAAGTGTTCTGGCTTCTAGAGAAATGAATTTTGTTAACTTCAAAAATTTGATAACTTTTTTAATGCATTAGTTTCGCCTTTTTTTGATGTTAGTTTTGAGAAAATAACACAAACAACTTTTTTTATGCTAGATATTCTGATTTACTTGTTTTAACTACTTCGCGCGGTCACTGGTTTAATTAGTCAGAAGAAAGACAAAGTGCAGTGTAATTGCGTGGTAGAGTGACAAAGTGGTAGTGTGAACTTTTCAAAAAGTGCTTAAAATGTCACCAAAATAAATATGATGCATTTTTTCCTCCGAAAGTTTCAACCAAAATTTACCCCCAAAACTGGTCATTCTGGCTGGCTTTTTTTCTACTTAATCAAAATTACGCTGAAACTACAATTTCAACTGCTGAGAAACTTTTATCAAAATAAGACTCTTACACAGCACACCAAACTTCAAGGAAGGTTAAAACCTCCAAAAACCTGTATAAGAGAAAACTTTTTGCTTGATAGTCAAGAAATGTTATTTTTTACTAAATGAAACCCACAATTTTCGTTTAAAAATAAATTTTAAACAGTTTGCGCAAAATTTTGGAGGTTTATGCCTTCTTAAATTTTGGTGGTCTGTGTAGGAAGCTTCTTTAAATGTAAATTTCTCATCAATTAACACAGTAGTTTTAAATAAACCCAAAATGACCCAATTTTGGGGTGGAATTTTTGATGAGAATTTTGAAAAATGAATAACACCATAATAATTCTGGTAAAATTCTAAGCAACTTTTGTTCAATTACTTTTTTGTCTAATCTTAACTCAATTAGAGAAAAACTCATTCGAAGTTTCAAGTTTTGTTCGTTCTGTCCTGATAATTTGAATCAGCAATATAAGTTAAAAAAAACTATAGTTAAAAACCACGCAATCAGTTTTTATTTGATTATATTTAAACAATAACTGAAAAACTCAAAAACCGATTTTAAAAATCCAATTTGCAAAAGGATTTGAATGAAGCTTACGTTTTAGGAGAAAAATTGCCATGAATTTGTTCTTTTTAGGAACTATTTGAAACAATCGGATCTCTTAAAAAAAGAAACCAAAATGCTTGAACCTTAAACTCACAGTGCTTTTCAAGCGTTGGGAAGAGATAATTAAAAAAACGCTCTTATAAAATAAAAATAGCTTTTATAAATTACCTCAAGTCGTAAATCTTTTTATTCAGGGGTGCTGTCGAAAAATAGCTTAATCACGTCTCGATTTTTCTGTGGTATCGCCAATATCTCAGTTTGATCTCAACCATACCAAACACGGTTCATTAGCTTCCCTTAACTAAAAAGAAACCTCCGTAAATTATCCCATGAAGGACATTTAATGAACTAAATCAGATAGATTTTAGTTTCTTTGATAATTGTTTGACATTCACTTAAATTTTGTTTTTCTTCGACTCATGATCGTAAAAAGAGAATTTAGTTTTAGGATACAATATAGAGCTAATTTCATTGAATAACAATTTTCAATAGCTGTTTGTTTCAGCTTATTTTTTGAATAAAAGCTAGGTTAAAATGAGAGGAAAATGGGGGAAAAAACAAGGGAGGGAATAAGTGGGATTAGCGGAGACTTGAGTAGCAGTTAATCCCCCTCCTTGACATTATTTGAATCCACCTAAACATTTCAACGCCGTCTCAATCCAGACCAATTCGGCAGAATTAAATTTCAATTCAAAAAAGGAAAGAATCAAGAAAAACAATAGAAAATCTGGACAAATCTCCATTTTAAATTTTCTACTCATGCAAAAGCGTTCATGTAAATAGATACAGCTGTGTCTGAGAGGAGAAGTTTTTTTAGAAATCGGTGAACGGTTGGTAAGAAGAAAGATCACAGACAATAGACTCGAATTCTGCTAGTTGGTTTTCGATAATCAGCCCCAAGATTTACCCCTGATTAATTTCACGTTAAAAAATTAGTTTGAAAGTTCGAAATAAATTTAATCAAAGCTTCGTTGCTGGTTTCAAAAAAAAATTGGTATCAAAAATTTGTCGGCTTACTTGTCGTTGTTGCTCACAGATACTCAAAAAGAGGCAGTGGCAGAATACCATTTGCTGAAAATAATCAAATTTTCAAGTTCAATTCTTTATTTCAACCTCGCGTTGTCATTTCCCACGGAAACAGTTTGGGTTGTTCTTCCAAATTATTATTTGCTTTTAGTTTTATTCTTACCTTATTATATTACCGCTGTTTACCAAGGTCAAGTCAGGTAGCTCTTTCTGATCTTCATATTTTCATATCCACAATACTTTGCCCATGTCAAACCCGGGAATTTTAATTGACAAGAATGTCATGTAGCTGAAATATCTAAATATCTATTTCATGTAGCTAAATTTTGCGGTCGAATTGGGGAAAAAAGACACTCAGAAATGGGTTATATGTAGTTACTCGATTTATAACGAGACCCAGGAGTAGTTGAATTATTAACATAACTAACCGGGGGTTTTATGAAAACGGAGAAAAATCATTCCTGTCAATCTTAATCAGTGTCTGTCATCTTGTATGGAACAGTGGATAATGGTGAATTGTTATGATTGCTACACCTATAGTATAGGAATTGGTAATAAACTTTGTCAAGGCATTTATTCAATTTCCATCAATCATTTACTTTCCTTCAATTGTCCCGAATAACGGCAAGTAAATGATATACAATTAGTTCAAAACTGCTTTTTTGCTTTTCCTTAAAACAAAAGGTTACCATCTTTTATGCCAGTGTTTAAGGACTTTCTTCTGCTAAAAGTTACATATATCTCAAGATAGTTTTTTGTTTCGAAATAACAAAACCCCATTCAAATAACAATTTTTAATTTCCCTTTCAAATTCTATGGTATTTTTATTTCAATTCAGTTGGGAATAATTTATTTTCGCTTCTCTGAATTTGTGTTTCTTGAATCGGACTCCCTCCAAAAATTAATATTAAAAGCTCTTTTCAGTTTTGATCCTTTATTTTTGCCGTTATTTAATAAATTTCTTCAGACCTTCAGACCTCGAATTCGATTTAGAAATGCAGACGGATACTTTTGTTGAATTCATTTTGCAGTTTTCTTAGCGATGACCAGTTTCTATTTTCCTGCCCCTTTCAACAGTCTGTTACAAGATTTATCTTCGTTTTTATAAAATTTGTGCAGCTCAGCTTTTAACAGTCTGACCTGTTATTTTTGGCAACTAGTTTAATTGGATCAAAATCTCATTACAAGAAAGTCTGAAAGCTTATTTGTTCAAACTTCGTTCAAACATCATCCAGCATGATGGTTGACATTTTCTCCATCATAAATGCCCTTTCGAGTGTCCTCCACGACAGCGATGAGTCATCAGCCTACTCTGTGCTGCCCCCCTCAGCCTCCTGCGACATTTGTGCCATTGGGTCCCCCTGGGCTGCCTGTGACTGCTCTTACACTGGTGCGAATCAACTGTCAAGAATAGGTACGTTAGAAATTGTACCCCACTCGACACCAAACTGTATAACATGCGGTTTTTTGCGTTTAAAGCATTACAGTTTTTTTTGCGTTTTAAAATTTTAAAATGGTTGGAGCAATGTTTTATAAAAAATGACCTCTGCATTAAAAGAAGTATCGACTTCAAGAAGTATAGCGAGATAGCTGTTCAAATACTCTCAGAATTTGCATCAAAACATTCGATTGCTGCTAGAACTCGCATCGTCCTCATCAGTTTGCTTTTTTAGTCCCCTTTTTCACAGAAATGATAAAACGCTTTAATAACCAGGAACTAAACAACTTCAATCGTTAAAATAACACTGAACTGATAAGTGTTTTGTAGTTTAACTATTTTAAGTCTGAAAATTCTTTTTGACAACATTTTTAGACGTTTTTTTCTGGTGAACCATTAAACTCTAATTCTACCAAGTGGTAAAACTTTACCGTTGTTATCTTTTCTGAGCGAGCTGAGCTCTCTTCCTTGATTATTTTTTTTCTCTCAAGTGCTCTTAAGTTTTTTCCTTGCTACAACATTATTCAAAAACAACTGATTTGATTCTCGCTCTGAGACGCCTGAAAACATGATTAGTATTTATTGAAGACTAGTATACCATAGCAAGGAACGTGTTATTAGAAGTTCCTAATATCTATAAGATTGGTCGGTCAGCCAAAAAATGAAATAAAGTCAATGGGTCCAAAAATATCAAGGCGTCTAAAAATATGTAAATATCCTGAGAGAGGTGTCCCCTCACCGTCTGAATCCACAGCATAACTTTATTTCCAAGTTTTGTCAAAATAACAGAGCTATAAATTGGCCACGCACCTTTTGTTAGCACCGTAAAATTGTGATAGAGGAGTACCGAGAAGTTAATAGGGTTATTTACGTAAATAGAGTGCTTCAACAATATTTCATTTGTTGCCTGATTCATTTGTTGCCTCGGTTATGTCAAGTATAAAAAAAGCTCGCGCAAATGAGGGAGGTCAATTACGTTTGAGATCAAAACTTAAAAGCAATTGATTGGCGTCCATTGGTTTACCTTATTAGCATATTTGCTTCGAATTGGCGTGATTTGGAGCTCCTCTGTCACACTTGAGTTTTACCGGAAGCCCTCTATCACTCTTGTACCGTCCAAACAATTCATTGATTGGCGAGGAAGTATGATCTAGGTTGTTTCGTTCCGTGAGAGTTCGGGAACCTCAAACAACATTCGTTTATGATTGACTGCTATATTGTTTTACACAGACCACAAGCCGTGATTCAGATTCCGGAAAAAAAGACTTTTTTCGGGAGTCTTTTTACTTGGGGACCGATTGTTTGGCAAACCATTTTTTTAGCATAAAAAATGACAATTGAAATTTTTTAGCAGATCAGCTTAAAAAAGTGAAACAAGATTGATTGGCATACTCAAAAAGACGCTCAGTCTGGGGTCAAGTTTCCACATTTAAGACAATTATCTCACGATTTGTCAACAAAACTATCAACTTCAAAAACACAACCGTCTAAATTAGCGGCAAAACAAAAATTTACGCGCACAGTAACACTCGTGTTGAATTGAAACGCAGCGTAGCAAGCGGTCGCTAATCGCCAATGCCGCCTTTAAGGATAGCTTTCGGAATTTATAATTGTTTTGCTAAAAGATTGGTCTGCTAAAAAACCGGTGTGCTGAAAACCCTACCATCTTCTTACTTACTGAGCCCAAAAACAAAATTTCAACATATTTAACTGAAACCATTTTGTTTCAATCTGATTGGCTAGAATTAGCCAATCAAATTTCAGCACCGATCTCAAATTGTTTTGTTAACAATTTTAAGTCACATTTTAAGTACGCGGAACTGGCCTATAATCAAGAATGTAAACTACTCAAAGTTGTTTCAATTACGCTCCAGAGTTATACCCAAATTAGAAAAAAATATAACAAAAAACGGCTGGAGGAAAAAAATAATCCCTTTCGTATCTGCTAAAAATTCGGCTTTGTGAGAAATCGGCTTGAGAATAGGGTGATTTTATTTGTATTAACCAAGTCAACCAGTTCTATCAGTATGTTGTTCTCAGCATTTATGCCTTCAATATGATAAAACCGCAAAATTAAGAAATTTGGGCCCATTAAGTAAAAAGACCCTTTATTGGTGTTAAATGTTACAAATTAATAGCTTTTTGGTCCATTTTGTAATAAGTTTTTACCAGAGAGTAGAATGCTGAGACAATTGAATCAATGTCACTCAGATTTGGAATGGCTTTTCACATGTTTTGCTTTTTAAAAGAAGTTCATTTCAAATTTTTAGTGCTTATAATAAAAACGGTCGAAAAATTAATAGAATAGATTGTTTTGAATTAAGAGCAGGATTGAAATATTCTTTTTCTCAAACATATATTCTAAATTAAATATTTTTCAGCTAAATACGAACAACAAGAAATAATAAGCAAATTACTTGTTAACCATTTTAAAATGTAGTTTTTATCCAGAAAAAAATTATGGTTTTTATCTTATCTCTAATTAACTTTATCTATTCCAAACTTTTATTGATTGAAATGCTTAATTTGTCTCTTAATTTTAATTCATTATTATTAGCCAGTCAGATTCAAGTACATGGTTTTTTTTACTTCTAGTTGAAGTAAAATTGATTTTTTTTTGTGGTCGTTAAGTACAAAAGACCCTCAAAATTGTAATTTTTCTAAACCAATTGGAAAATTTTTTAATGCCTCTTACGCTTGTGAACTGACCCGCTATGTGCTCTGACACATTGGAGTTAAGTTTCTATGTTTTTCCGTAGATTTCTGTGCGATACATGAGTGACCATAAAAGCGTCAGACATCTTGTTAGAATAGCTTGTATTACATGCGACCAGTTTGTGTGGTTTTAAGCCAATGAATATCAAGTTTGAAACAAAGCTAGTTACAAACAGTTATTTGAATGCCCAAATAACCGCTCTTACAAAAAACTGAAAAGCGAAAATGCGACAAACACTAAACGCCAGCCTTGTTTCTTCGTTTTTAAAATTGGTGGCTACCCGGGAACAGGATTGAAATATTCTTTTTCTCAAACATATATTCTAAATTAAATATTTGTCAGCTAAATACGAACAACAAGAAATATTAGGCAAATTACTTGTTAACATATTGAACTGACCCGCTAACATATTGTCAAGAACACTGTGAACATAAAGGTAATCGTTATTCATGGGCCTTAACTTAAGCCAAAAATCGTTTTCACATAATTATTATTGACAAAATATGACGAAACATAAAGAACGTTTAGTTTTTGAGTTTTTAAGAAAACCGTTCCTAGTTTTTGAAAAAAAAGCTCAATCCGAAAAATGCCAATTCATTAATGCTTCTTAAATTTTTGTTGTCTCAATGGTCTCAACGAATTATGTTGCCTCTTGCACTATTTATTACAATTTTTTATAATCAGCCACCAAAACAGCATTGCGTGCGTTCTCTTTGCATAACTGTTGATTTCAAACAAAAAAATCACCTTTATTTAAAAAAAGTTATTTGGCGCAAAAGGGGCTACTTAATTTGCGCTCCGTAATTATTAGCTTTGTTGAAAAAAATAGTTTGTTAAATCAGAACTTACCTCAATTTTGTTGTGACAAGTTATACAAGGAAAAACAATTTTAAGAAAAACAGTAACATTAAAAAAGTTCTAATTCAATGTTAAACAATATTTAAATTCTAATTCAACTTTATTGGGCTAAATAGTGCAGTTTTTTTCCAATTTTATTGTATAACAATTGCAGAATAATTTCAATCTAACAATAAAAAACTTTGGAAATTCTAACCAAAACCAAATCAAAAACGAGTTGATGATGTTTTTGGAGATATTTACTGCGTATTGGAAGTCTTAAGAAACAAATATAAACTTGTCTCGGCCAAAACGGCATAGCAAACCAGCTTAAGGTTTTTCCTTGGAGGGGCCTTGTTTTTGGCTAACTTTTTCGAGACTACGGCTAGTCGTTTCGACGTTTTGAGCCTTAATGATACCCCAAGCCCTTTTGCTAAAGCTTCAATCTCTTAGACAGACATTAACTGAAAGTTTTGAAATGTGTTTAATAAATTTTTCTAGTTCTCTTTTATGCTAAAGAAAACCTATTTGAAAGCCTAGTTTAGATTTTTAACCTTTCAACTAATGCCTTTGAAATTCAAATTCCACACTGCTTTTGCTGTTCCTGGGATTTTTTTTGGCACTGAAAAAACGGAAAACTTCTAATTAAATGACCAAACGACGCCTAAGAAATTTTTTGTTCCGTTCATTGAAAATGGGGAGGAACTTTGTGTTCGAGTGTGTTTTGTTTTTTTTTTCATGCAAAATCAGTTACCACAAATAATCATCGGACTGGGTTGATTGATATATCATATTGAAACCCTTACAGTTCTAATTCGAACCACATTGAAAAATTTCAAAAAAATTGCCAGTACTGGGAAAATCGGTTTGAATTCGTAAAGTTTTTGTCCTATTTCAAGCGAATAAAGCGAGCGAGCAAGCTTACAGCAGCATAATTGTACTTAAACTAAAGCCTAAAAACTTAGTTTTAAGCAAATAAAATTAGTTTTTGGAGTTTTTTATTTCCATTTTGAGAACCAAAACTTTCAGAAAAATTCAAAAGTCTTTTGCAAAATTAATATTGAAAAAAAATTTTGTGTTAGGCATTTTTTCCTAAATTTTGCCCAATGGGCCTTTATCACTGTGACTGATCTTCGAAAATGCATTATTTATAATTTCACATCAGATCCTTTTATCATACCTCGCTGAAAAAACTATTTTGTTTTGAAAAAAAGTTTTTTAGTTTATAAAGACTGACTGGAACCTCCGTTGCTATCCTTGCTTTTTTTGACTTTATATGGCTAAAATCTAATGAATAAATTCATTCATTAAAATTTCAAAATTTCAAGCGTGAATCTCACAGAAAACGGCAGATAAGAAGAATTTTGTTCTTTCATTGCATGAAACTAAAAATTGCAACTTGTCTCAAGTGACTAGGATGTTG